AATCGCGGCCGTGGCGGCACTTTATTAAAGGAGTTACGGGGGGTATTACGCTAACTCCGGCGTGTTAAGGCTATAGCGGGTATTCTATTAGATTATTTTATCAATAGCCTTAATAAGGTCTCCTTATAACCCCTTTATGGTATCGATCCGGCTAACTATCCTAGGGCCTTAGGTATATTAAAAACGGGGTTAATTCCTCCGAGGGGGCTAAGGAGGAAGGTATTAAGGAGTAGTCGTTTTGGTACTACTAGGGTCCCGACTTATAAGGCCCTTATTTGATTATAAAGGACTATTATATCCCTTTTACCCTATTATAGTATTACCGCGTTCTTATAGGCGTTCGTGACTTTAAAGGCGAGCCGGAAATCGTTAAGCCTTCTTTATTATAGGAATTACTTAGCTATTACTCCGGCTTCGGTATTATATTCTAACGCGTTATATAAATCTCCCCTAATTATAAGCGGTCTCTTTACGGTGCTAAAAAGGTCTTTACGCTCCTCCTCGGCTATATGCTCGTATTAGAATATTACGTGCTCCGTTATCTTAGCTCCTTTATCGCCGTAGGGGCACCGTGTCGATAAGAACCCCGGTACTCTCGCCTTAGCTAGGAAAAATCGTAAACCTAGTTTTTCTAATCTAATCTAGGTAAGTACGGAACTTTATAGTTTTAGGAGACCCCTATATTTTTGGAAGAAGTATTATATTAGGGGGCGGTCCGGCGCCACTATCGTATATATATAGAGACGCCTCGTCTTATATAAGATCTGCCCTATACCTTTATTAGGGCCTTCCTCGGGGGTAAGGCCCCCGCCTAGGCTATTAGGGCGGTTAGTTAGGTAGTCTACGCGAGGGCCGCGTATATTTGATAGTATCGATTCGATACCGCGAGGGCTCTCGCCGCGGCGAATACCCCGGCTAGTATCTTATCCTCGGTACCCTTGTCCTGGATCCGGAGGACTTTCCGGGTATTAATACTTATAAGATATATGTTAAGGAGGGGGATAAAGGTCTCCTTTTTAAGGACCCTAATACGTACAGCTTTATAGGCTTCTGCTATAAGTCTAAGGCACCGGTTCTATACCGTTATAAGTACCGCTACAGGGCTATATTAGGGGCCTACTCCAATGTTATAAATGGCTACGTTATAGTGGGCTATTACCGGTCTAATTACTAATAGGTATAGCCTCCTTATATCTGCGAAGCTATACCCCTATACTACTATACTAAGCCTGAAGAGGGTATATACTTAGGTAGCGAGGCGGCTCTTTGCTTTTGTAGCGTATTATCGGAAGTTAAGTTTCCTGTTAAGCTAGACGCCTAGGAGTCTTATCGCCTCCATTACTAGCACCAAAATAGCGCTAAGGGGGAGCGGGTTAGGTAAGGGTTAGCGCGACCTTAAAAAGGGGATATAAATATACTTAGCTAATTCGAACTATAATTCGGTTATAATCTCTTAGTCTAGGTAAGTCCGTTATACGGCGGTAAGGCGGTACTACACCTATACCTTTATTCTATTAAAGACGATAGTATTCGTATTATCAATAAAACCTATTACTATCGCTTTAATAATTCTTTTTAGCTCCTTATAAAGGGTAAAGATATAGAGAATAAAAAGGATAGGGGAGATTGGAGAGCTTTATAGTATACCCCCGTGGAGGTATTATGGGAGAGCTATCTCGCCGTTCAGTAATAGCTAGGCTATACGGTTATAAAGGAAGCTACTAATTAGGGTAATAAGCTATTAGGGGAAGCCTTTTCTTTCAAGTACTTTAAGGAGGCGAGAGTAAGGGATAGTATTAAAGGCGCCTTTAATATCTAGTTAGAGTATTAAAGCGGTGCCGTTATAGGCCTAGCTTATCTTTACGGTTTCCGCGACTCTCTATACTACTATTTCTATACTTTATCCGGTCTGGTTTCCTATTTATCCCTTTAGGAGGAGCCGATACTCCTTTATTATAGCGGCGATACGGTTAGCTAGTATCCCCTTAAGGACCTTACCTATTATACTAAGAATTAATATCGGTCGCTAACCTTTTACTATCTTATACTCGGCCAGCGGCTAACCTTCCTTTTTAAGGATTATAACGGTAGCGTAGTGGTACCTTTTTAGGTAATAACCTACTTCGAGGTATACTATAAAGATAGTACTTAGTCTTTAGTATAAGGGGGTTCTATATACTTTTAGGAGCCCTGCCGGGAATCTATTAATCCTTAGTACCGTTTAGTACTTACTTTTCTTAAGGCGCCCCTATACGTCCGCTATGGTAATATCGTTGCGGATATCCTATCCGGGGGGAAATTACACGCCTAAAGGCCTAAGGGCGGTAAGTAAGGGGGGGGG